GTTAGACAATTTACAAGTTAAGTTAAGCCGAGATATGTTTAAAACACTGTTTGGAAATTGTGACAATTTACAAGTGTTAAAACCGAAAAGTATTGCTTAACACTTGTTTGAATTTGTGGACAATTTACAAGTTAAGTAAGCCGAGATCATTGTTTACACTTGCTTTCACTTGTTGAAATTTGTAGCAATTTACAAGTTAGTTAAACCGATATGATGTTTACCGCTTGCTGAAATTTGTAACAATTTACAAGTTGGTTAAACCAAGATGATGCTTAATCGAAGTTAAGCCGAGATGATGCTTAACCGAAGTTTAAGCCGAGATGATGCTTAACCGAAGTTAAGCCCAGATGATGTTTAACCGAAGTTAAACTAAGATGATGCTTAACCGAAGTTAAGCCCAGATGATGCTTAACCGAAGTTAAGCCGAAGATGATGCTTAACCGAAGTTAAGCCGAGATGATACTTAACCGAAGTTAAGCCGAGATAATGTTTAACCGAAGTTAAATTCAGATGATGTTTAACCGAAGTTAAACCGAGATGATGCTTAACCGAAGTTAAGCCGAGATGATACTTAACTGAAGTTAAGCCCAGATGATGTTTAACCGAAGTTAAGCCGAGATGATACTTAACCGAAGTTAAGCCGAAGATGATGTTTAACCGAAGTTAAACTGAGATAATGCTTAACTGAAGTTAAGCCGAGATGATGTTGAAACTTGAGAAAAGTTTACAGGTTAGGTTGAACCGAGAAGATGCTCAAACACTTGTTGAAACTTGAGAAGAGTTTACAAGATTGAAGACTATGGTTAAATACTTGTTGAAATTTTTTGAGCAAAAATTTACAAGTTGAACGAGCAGAAATTTACAAGTTAAATCAAGGTTATGTTAAAAGAAGTATCTACATACTTGCTGAGATTACCATATTGCCAAGACTTGGAAGAAATTTAAAGACAGAAGTCTTGCTAAAAGTGAAGTATCAAGTTGTAAATAACACTTGTGGAAATGTTATGATAAATATCTTTCAAGTATTAGGTCAAAAACCGAGATAAACTGATTAATGGGTACAACCAAGATGTTACACCCCGAGGAGATTGCACAGTTAAAGATGTATATTGAAGGCGGACATATGACTCAGGTCTGCAGAAACACTAAGAGCACACTTAGAAGATCTGATGAGGCAAGGCGATCTGAATGGACCTCGTTGATGAGACCAGAACAAGGGAAGAACAGGCAAAACTGCCTCAGGCGCCAGCAGCTCCGCCTCTCCGAGCACAACAACCTCAGGCAGAAAGACCTCGGGTAATTAATATAATTCACTCGAGGGTCAACGAGAACGAAATTAAGGGGGAGACTCAGAAGGTAAAGCACCTGCAACATGTCTACCAAGTCGGGGACAAGAGACATTGGGCAAATGAGTGCTTGGGACCAGTAGTGTTTTTTACCGAAACCGACCTCGAGATGGTCCAACACCCGCATAATGATGCTTTGGTAGTATCCCTCCATGTTGGGGAGTGCCAAGTGAAACGCATCCTGATTGACCAAAGAAGCTCTTGTGACATCATGTATGTCTGATGTTACAAGGAGCTTGGCCTTCATCCGGACGATATGGAGCAACCCAACGGCCCAATGGTTGGGTTCAAAGGAACACCGACGTGGGCACTGAGAGCAGTAAGCTTGGAGATGCAGGCTGGCACCAAAAAGATCACAACAGAGTTTACCATCATCGACACTCCAGCTCCTTACAAATCTTGGGAAGATCATGGTTGCATGCAATGGGGGCAGTTCCCTCAACATTGCATCAACTACTGCGGTTCCCAACAGAACATGGGATTGAAGAAGTCAGAGGGGATCAACTGCAAGCGGAGAATTGCTCCATGGCAGCAATGAAATCCACCTGTAGTATTCAAAAATTGGAGAAGGCAGAGATTGAAGACGAGGACATGAAGGTCCTAGATGATGTCGGCAAGGAACCAGCCGAGAAGAGTGAAGAAGCACTAAAGAAAGCCCTCGTCCAGGAGGATGATCAAGAACGCTTCTTTCTTATCGGCTCGGGCTTAGCCGAAGAAGAAAAAAGAGAATTGTAAGCTTTTTTTTTAGAGCAAACATTGAGGTATTTGCTTGGATACCTTACGAAATACCTGGCATTGACCCTGAGGTCATTTGCCACCAACTGAACGTCGACAAGTCGGCCAAACCTGTAAATCCAACGAGCAAGAAGACCGACGTTGATACACGTCGAAAACAGTAGAGGAAAAAGTAAACAGACTTCTGGAGCTCAGGGCCATCCGAGAAGTCAATTACCCGACATGGCTATCAAATACAGTGGAAGAATGAATGATAATCAATGAGCAAGGAATGTTAACATCGGCCAACAACAGACATTTTTCAGAAGCAAAAAAGGTTACATATACAAAGAAAACAAAAGTACAAAGATGAAGACCCTAAGAACTAGGGACTAAGGCAAGAACGTCGGACTAATCTACTTCAACGGTTGACGGTGGTTCAGCATTGACAGTCAGCTGGGAGAGCTTCTCTACCATTATCTCGGCAACAAATTCAAGAAGGGACGTGGTTCTAAGACTATGCAGAAAATAGAAACGAAGACAAGAATCTAGAAATACAACAAGAAAAACAAGAAGAGAAAAATCAGAGTCAAGAAGATGACAAAATTCAAAGAATAAAGCCAAGTACACAGGCACTAAAGAACAAGAAAGTAATGAACTAGACATGATACTAGCAACAGAAAGCGGATATGACAAGAAAAGTGCCAGGCATTCAAACAATTCAAAACTTGAAGAGCAACGAAAACAGAAGGCCACAGATGGCAAATAAACAGATTCAAAGTAAATCAGAAGAGTTATGAAAGATTGAGCTTAATAGCAAGTAAAGAGTTTATGAACCTACAAAGTGAAATGAACGCCGATATGGAAATCGCCGGAGTCAAATAGATGACTGGAAATTGGGAACTCACCAGAGAGTGTGAGTGGAGCAGTTGCAAAGCTCTTGGAGTTTACGAATTAATGGAACTAGAACCTCGGCTAGGAGGTGCGATTTCAAAGTAGCCTGGAAGGCATGAATCTTGAAATTGTCAAATGCTAGACCAAGTTTTGGAAAAGAAAAGAAGAAAAAAAAAAAAAAATCCACACAATAGCAGATGGGAAAACCCATCACAAAATCCAAATTTAAAAGAACTTATTTTTTGGGGGGAGTGGGGGTACGTGTGGGGACATATTTTCTGAGTACCAACACGTGGCAAGGTGGCGCCGACGTGTCAGCCGAGGTGCCACGTGTCCTGGTTGTGACGCCGAGGTGATCTCATCAAGACCGAGGTTATCTTCGAAGATACCGGAATCCGAGATAAGTGGATAAGGGACAAGAGTCTTAGAATGAAGAGGGAACTCAACCTGGATATGGACAAGAGTCCTAGATTGGGAGAAGACTTCAGTTTGGGTAAAAATGAGACTCTTAGAGAGTTTATCCTAATCCCACTAGGAGTCCCAGATTAGCAGTAATCCTAAATCCATTAGGGCTAGGCTCCTATTGGGATTAGGTTTATGTTGGCTATAAAAGAGAGGCACCCCCATGGGTCTAAAGTATGCTTTTTGATACTCAAGCTTGTGAGTTTAGTACTTGATTTATCTTTGAGAAATATACTGACTTGATCGTCGGAGTGCCCCCGGGTGGACGAATCACCGCCGGAGTCTTCTCTTTCTGTTGCAGGTCAGCCAGTGCCATCTATTCTGCCGGTACTCTCCAACTGGATACTAAGCGGGCAATGTGGTCAGAAAATCACCCACACAATTTGGCGCCGTCTGTGGGAAAGAAAGAAGAATAGATGGTCAATGACGGACAGAAGGATCAGATTAGAGACAACGCTCCTACTGGGAGTGGGAGACCTATCGATCTCGACGTTGAAAGGGACGATCACAACACAAAAACTCGTGACTAGAGTCACGAAGTGAAAGACGCCGGCCAGGAAGGTGATGCACCAAAGACAATAGATCGAAGCGAATACTACAACGAAGATGACCTCCAGGTATGGAAGGATAGATACCTGCGGAGGAACGAAGACCCTTCCAGAAGGGATGCAAAGACAGGGGGCATGAGCGCTTCCAAGGAGATAACATTCAAGTATAGAAGAGCTCAACCTGAGTGAGCAAATTCCGGATCCCAGATCCAAGAAGACATGATCTCGGCCTAGATGAGTAGGTCCGAGAAAAGAAGAGCTCAACCTGAGTGAGCAGATCCAAGATTCCAGAAGATAAGATCTTGGCACCTGAGTCCGAGAAGAGAAGAGCACAATGAGCAGATCTCAGATCCCAGAAGATAAAAAGGAAACACACAAGATCAGACTAAAGTTGGCCAGAATTGAGAAGTATGCTAGGGCCGAGGAGCCACCAATTTACCCTCACCTACTCCTCACCTACTACCCAAACCCTCTCCTATATAATGCCTCTCTGATTTGTAATACAAAACAACTAATCTTGTAACAAATCCATCAATAATATACATCAATTTATTTTACAGGGAAGGCCTTACTTGCTTTATACCCTGCTTGCTAGAGAACACAGAGAACCATCCAAAATCATATTCTTCATTCAATTACCTACCTACCAAACTTGTTTGAAACAGAAACGTGCAGAGTTCCAAAAAATTGCTCTCCTCTCTCTCTCTCTCTCTCTCTCTCTCTCTCTCATATTGCTTTGTTTCATACATTTCCTCCTGGGCTCTTTCACAACAAAGACGAGTAGACATGGATGTGGTGGGAATCTTTATCTCTCCATTGCTTCAAGCTGTGATTGACAAGTTGTTGTTCTCTGATTTAATCAACTTGGCGCGTCGTGAGGGTGTCGACACTTCCATCAAGAAGCTGAAGAAGTCATTTGAAGATATAAACGATGTCCTTGCTGATGCAGAGGACAAGCAGATATCCGACAGGGCTGTCAATAAGTGGCTGAAAGAGCTCCAGCATTTGGCTTACGATGCGGACGATGTGCTGGACGAGTTTGCCACTGAAGCTCTACGCAAGAAGCTGATCAGGGCAGAGACTGATGCTGATGTTGATGTTGGTGAGGCCAGCACAAGTAGGAAGGTACGACGATTCCTCCTTCCTACTTGTTGCACTGGTTTTACTCCAAGTACGATTTCATTCAATTTCGCAATTGGGTCCAAGTTGGAGGAGATCAATGGTCAGTTACAAGATGTTACTACAAGAATTAAGGAACTTGGTTTGGTCAAAAAGGCTATTGGGCGGATGAAGTCTACAAATGCGTGGCAGAGACCAGAAACTACATATTTGGTGAAAGAGCCTTGTGTTTATGGTAGAGAAGAAAAGAAAAAACAGATTATTGAATTGCTTCTCAGAGATGCGGCAACTCAAAACAAAGTCGATGTCATTCCCATCGTGGGCATGGGTGGGGTTGGCAAGACTACTCTGGCTCAACTCATTTGCGATGATAATGGTGTCAAAAACCATTTCAATCTGAAAGCGTGGGTTTGTGTATCTGACGAGTTTGACGTTAAGAGAATAACAAAGGCAATTTTGGATGAATTCACTCTTGATTCATGCAATTTGACAGAGTTAAATACCCTTCAACGTAAACTTGAGGACACACTGGCAGGAAAAAAGTTTTTGCTTGTCCTAGATGATGTGTGGAACCATAGAGATGAAGAGTGGAGTTCACTACAATCTCCGTTTCGAGCCGGAGCACATGGAAGTAAAATCATTGTGACAACGCGCATCACGACTGTTGCGCGACAGGTGGGTACAATTGAACACCACGATTTGAAAGAGTTATCACCTGATGATTGCTGGTCAATCTTTGCCCAACATGCATTCAAGAATATAAATATTAGTGAACATTCAGAATTGGAATCAATTGGTAGGCAAATTGTTGCTAAGTGCGGAGGCTTGCCACTGGCAGCAAGGGCCCTCGGTGGCTTATTACGTGACCAAAAGGAGCATAAATGGAAAATGGTACTAACTAGCAATATATGGGATAAACCATACGAGGAAAGCCACATTCTCCCATCACTAAAATTGAGCTATCATCATCTCCCTTCCCATTTGAAGAGGTGCTTTGGTTATTGTGCAATTGTCCCAAAGGATTACGAATTTGGGAAGGATGAATTAGTCTTGTTATGGATGGCAGAAGGTTTAATTGAACACCCAGAAGGTGGAGAACAAATAGAAGATGTAGGCCGCAGGTATTTTCACGAATTGGTGTCTAGGTCATTTTTCCAATTGTCAAGGCATAATAAATTGCTATTCATAATGCATGACCTCATCAATGATTTGGCTCAAGCAGTTGCAGGGGACATCTGTTTTAGGTTGGAGAATAATTTAGAGGGCGGCAAGCAGAACAAGATTTCAAATAAAGCTCGACATTCATCTTATGTTGGTAGTGAATATGAAGGAATCAGAAAATTCAAAGCTTTCGATGATGCCAGATGCTTACGAACCTTCTTAAGGTTTTCGGCGAGTGAATTCAACTACACAACAAGGTACTTGATTCATGATTTGTTGCCAATGTTAAAGTGCTTACGTGAGCTGCGTTTTTGTTGTTATGGGATTGATGAACTACCAGATTCCATTGGAGATCTAAAGCATCTACGGTACCTTGATGTATCCCATTCGCGAATTAGGAAGTTACCTGATTCGGTGGTAACTCTCTACAATTTACAAGTCTTGTTTTTGAAATTTTGTGTTAAACTTGAGAAGTTGCCTCTAAACATGGGGAGGCTAGTGAACTTGCGCCACTTTGACATGACTGGCGTGCATATTCCATCATCAGAAGAGATGTCACTACATATAGGTAAATTAACTAATCTCCGAACATTGTCAAATTTTATGGTGGGTAAAGATTGTGGGCGTAAAATAGGAGAGTTGAAAAACCTATCACATATTCAAGGGGCAATACACATATCAAGAATGGAGAATGTCAGTGGTGTTATGGAAGCAGTGGATGCCAATTTAATGTCTAAGGAGGAGTTAAAAGAGTTATCACTAGAATGGGATGAATCTCATAGTTTACAGAATGACATAGTTGAGAGGGATGTGCTTGACGTGATGAGGCCTTTCAAATTTTTGGAACGACTCACCATCAGTGGGTATGGTAGTACAAAATTTCCAAACTGGGTTGGAGATGTTTCATTCTCTAAAATGGTATTCATGCGATTAAAAGGTAGTAAATATTGCACATCATTGCCACCACTTGGACAACTGCCCGTGCTTAAAGACCTTTACATTGAAGGAATGAGTACAATAAAGTGCCTTGGTTGTGAGTTCTATGGGCAGCAGTGTGGTGCCAAACCTTTCCCCTCTCTAGAGAGATTGAGCTTTGAGTTTATGACAGAATGGGAGGATTGGTCTGCTTTTGAAACAGAGGAAGTTCAGCCGTTCAGTCATCTCAGTGAGCTTTCCATCATAAATTGTCCCAAACTTGTTGGAAGATTACCAAATGATCTTCCTTGTCTCAATTCTCTCAAAATTGATGGTTGTCCGCAGTTGTTGATTGATGTTTCGAGCCTCGTTCAGCCATCACTTGCATCCTTGTCAATGAATAATGTTATGCTCCCAAGCCTTCCAGCACTCTTAGGGATGAAGAACACGATTGAACTTGGTTCCCTCACCTTGGATATTAGCCATGTTACAGTTCCCGACTCCCTCTGCGATCCAAGCACAATTGATGAAGAGTTACTGGCTACTGAAATGTCTAAGCATTTGACTTCAATAACTGCTTTGAGCATTTCTCATGTTGAAAAATTGGCGTTCCTACCGACATGGTTTACTCGAGATTTGATGGGACTCGAGAAATTGGGCATTAGTAACTGCGAAGAACTCATAACATTGTGGCAGAATAAGGTGAGAACACAAGTATGTCTCCCCTCCCTCTGCCATTTGCAGATTTCTGATTGTCCCAAACTCGTTTGCTTGTTTGAAGAAGAGCAAGAAAAAGGAGGAGAAGGTTCGAAAGAGCAGCAACATGAGGGGCTGCCTTGCATGACGAGACTCGAGTATTTAACAATTGAAGAGTGTGGAATGCTGAAGAAACTGCCACAAGATCTGCACACATACACATCTCTTGGGGTGCTTAGAATCCGCAATTGTGCAAGTCTGATCTCTTTTCCAATGAAAGGTTTGCCATCTATGCTGAGAGAACTTGGGGTTTCAAGGTGTGATGCTTTGGAGTCCCTACCCGAGTTGATGACACTCAATAATCTGCAAGAGTTGGACGTTTCTGACTATGCATCACTCACATATTTATTGTCAAGAGGTGGGCTACCATCCACACTAAAACAACTTGGGATTGGGCCGTGTAAAAATCTGGAGTCACTTTTTGCAGAGGAAGGGATCAAAATTGATTGTCCATCTCTTGAAACTATTCAAATTGGTGGTTGCAGGAGTCTCAAATCTTTACCTGAAGCCAATAATCTCAAGAATCTCAGTCAATTGCAGATATACAATTGTTCTAATCTGGAGCCCCTGTCACTTGGTGGTCGTGATGAGAACAACAACAACAACCAACTCACTTCGCTTCAAGAGCTGGGTTTAGTTGATTGCAGAGCAGAGATGGTCTCCTACTTTGTCAAGGAAGGGAGTTTCCCCACCAACATCACTTCACTTTGTATCGGGCATTGGAGAGTGGACGACGTCGGTCAACTTCCAGTTCCGCCTCCATCTCCATTAGAGTGGGGTTTGCACAAACTCTCTTCTCTTACAACACTCGACCTTTATGGCGGAGGTTGGCCGGGGGGAGATACGGTGTCCTTTCCAGAAGAAGGGATGTTCCTGCCCACCTCTCTCATCAAATTGACCATCCACCACTTCCCAAATCTGGAAAGACTCTCTTATGAGGAGTTTCAAAACCTCACCTCTCTTGAAGAACTTGTAATCTGGAATTGCCCTAGGCTCGCGTCCTTTCCAAAGGAAGGGTTGCCTCCCTCTCTTTTGCATCTATGGATCTTGCACTGCCCTGAGCTTGCGACCTTTCCAGAACAAGGATTCCCTCCCTCTCTTTTGCATCTATGGATCGTAGATTGTAATCCAATACTGAAACAGAAGTGTGCAAAGGGGAAAGAATATTGGCCCATCATCCAATACATTCCTGACGTAGATTTGAAAGTATAAGCAGCCACCTGCAAGGTACAAACAAACAAACACAAAATCTGTCCTACCATTTTTATTTATTTATTTATATTATCATTACCAATTTCAGATTTTTATCACAAATGTGGATTTATTTATATTTGCATCCTCTACCATCACAATATAAAAATTAAAAAAGTAGAATTAAAAATAATAAATTTTAAATTTAAACTTTGAATTTTAAATTTGATCTTATACCTATCAAATAATTTATTTTAGTTTAACATTTAAATTTTTATCAAACAATTTTTCAACTTACAAACAAGCAAACACAAAATCTGTCATACCTATATTGGAGCATGTATATATTTTATATATTAAATTATTAAATATATAATTATATTCTAAAAATTATTTTTTTCTATTTAGTTAGTTGTAATATATTTGTTAAAATATGAATTTTTGTTGGAGATTGATATCAACTACAAATTGTTTTTATTAAATATAAATAAATATTATGTAAATAGAAAGTACGATAATAAGTTTGAGTTGTTTTTCTTTTATTTCTTTAAGATTTGTATGCTTGAGAGATTCAATCTCACTTGAAAGGGAGTTTATTCCTAGAAATGAGCGAGTTTCTTGTTGGTTTCTTATTTGAAAGCATGGAATTGCGTTTCTTAGTAAGCTATGAAGCATAGGTATTTCGAAAAGCATGTCGTACCTGTACCAAGTATTTACTGGCATATAGTATCTCGCATGATGCTTCTGCATACGTACCAGGTACACAAAACATGTACCTAAAATTTTTCTTCTTAATTTTTGACATACCCAGGCGTACCTAGTATATACCCAAGCCGTACCGTACCTTAGTTGAAATAATATATTCTTTTACTACATAGATAAAACTCATTTCACTAGAATTCTTTTTTTATTTTTAGCTTTATGGTTGGTATGATTTTAAAATTAAACTATTGTTTGTAAATTATTTAATATATTGACATTTAATTTTGATTTATACGTTTATTTTTTGCATTAAATGTTAATTATATGTTGGATCTTAACAAATTAAACCATTTAATTAATTTCTACATTACTCTAAATTAAAAATAAATATTTTTTTTACAAGTGTACCAAGCTGTACCTGTACCCTACTTTCTTTGGATTTTACCATATCAACATACACGTATTGTACGAGTACCAGTATTCGTGCTCGTACCCGTGCGTCATACTTAGTAAGAAACATCACCAAATTAAGAGTTTCCTGCTACTATGGTTTGATCAACTCAAATTGATCATTTTGTGTCTTCAACTACATCTCCACATCAGCTCTAATAATTCTGATTTATAGCTTCTATTTTTCACCTGTATCAACACACAACAATGTTTTTACGTTCATTTCTTTTATTTTTCTTTCAAATATTTCCTTTTCCTTTTTTATCTATATACCTCTGCTGCATGGATGAATTTCATTCTCATTTTTATTTTATTTTTACCCTGACTCTACTACAGGCATGTAAGTTGTGACTTTGAATACTATGCTCTTTTTGTTGTTCAACTTGTAAAAGTGTATTTTTCTATATTTTCTCAGTTTTCTGTGAAAACAATATAGAAAATATGACTTGTTTGGTTTGTTTTGAAAACAATTTTTGAGAGCTCAAAACCCAAAATTTGTTGGGTTTACAATTTTCTCAAAATTATTTTCAATCACTTTTTCTATCTCTTCTCTCATTCTCTCACATCCTACACATCAATCAATCACTTTTTCTCTCACATCCATCTATGCAACTACAAAAAAATTTCAAATCATTCCAAACTACAAACCTACAAAACTAATTTCAAAATATACAACCAAATAAATTTTCAAATTTTGAAAACTCTTTTCAATCTTGTGTTTCAAAATTATTTTCAAAACTAAACCAAACGCAGCCTATGTGGACAGTTTAAATAGTGAATCCCACTAACTATTGTTGTTGTCACCCTTTTGCTCTCCAGGGCTTTGTTGTTGTGGAAACAAACTTTAGGATGTATTCATACTTACTGTCTAAGCTGCATTGCGAGATTTTGTGCCTCTTTTCAAGGTATGCCAAAATTATGCTTGATAAAAGACTTTGGCTGCTTTGATTTAACTCAATGCTTCTTGGCTTTGAGGAGAGCTACAATTTTGAATGCAATGGGTCGCTATTTTTTGAGTTTTAGAATTGTCATGAG